TTGATCGACTACCTCGAGTTTTTCGTTATCTAGGATCAAGGGGTCATCAAACGGTTGATCGTCCCGCAGCAACACTTTGCACTTTGTATGTGTAAAGCGCATGCCAAATAATGGGACCACTCTAGAGAGGCAATTCAGGGTTGATTGTGCCGCCGCAACATTGTCAAAAAGCAAGACGATATCGACCGCATAATCAATGGTCAACTAGCCTTTCATCAGGAAGGACGTCGATGCCTACATTGCGAGATTCCGCAAGGGAACACTCGGTGATGGAGTCCACGAAGAAATTGAACAAAAACCTGTCAACCCTGACGAATGCCACTTGTGGTCGGAAAGCTATACGACGGTTCATCGTAGACCCTGACGCGAGCGGTAGTGTTCGAGTGTAGAGCATGCAAGATGTTCACATGCTTCGTGGGAACACCTTCCCGCGCAAGTATTTCGAACAGAATCGGTCGATCGACTGAATCGAACGCACTCTTTAAGTCGGGGAATACAGCTATTATCGGTTTGCGAGATACGTGGCGCTGCTCTAGCACCTGTCGCACAGCGAATATATGGTCTATACAGCCACGTCCTGGGCGGAAACCAGCCTGCACTTCCCTAATCCGAGATTCCCGTTCCGCAGTAAGGCGACGAACGATAATCGAAGCCAATAAATTTGTCACAACTGACGTTATACTAATGCCCCTGTGGTTATCACAGTCGATGACACACCGTTCTTGTATACTTCCATCAAAATCAATTCACTCCAGTTAGCCGGGACACTCACTTGCTTCCAGATATGTTCGAATAGGGAAGTCAGTGCTTTGCAGAGGACCTCACACCAGTAAATAGTGAAGGTGGGAGGGAATCCGGGCCAGCAGTACGAAAACGATCGAGGGCTGTGATCGCTTTTCGTACCTCAATCTTCGATGAGGCCTCTAAACTTAACGTCCATAGCTCACCCTGCATCACCTGAGTAGAAGGAGGTCCGGGAGCAGGTGGCCAACTGAGCTGAGCTTGAAAGTGTTCTGCCCAGCGTGTCATACGGCGCTCCTTATCGTGTATCAATGCACCCGCGCTGTCTCTGATTGTCTCACTGACGCCTGGTTTCCTGCGACCAGTGGTGCGGATCAGCTGGAGGAGTTTGCGGTAATTGCCTACTGCTCCTGCCTCCTCCATTTCTTGAGCCCGACTGGTCCATCAGGCTTCCTTGTCAGTATGCAGACTCCGCTTTAGTTCGCGCCTAATAGTCCGTCTGGTCATATTGTGCTCAGAGCCAGCCGGGAGTTTTCTTCTGGATTCCAACGGGTTCACCGACCTCTCGAATATCCAGTGACTAGTGCGGGGACGATTGATAGTGCCACAAACAGAGGCTCCTGCGTCGTGCATGTCGGCCGAGATTCTATTCCACTGAACTCAGTGTCAGTAGGACAAGACAGCAAAAGTCCGGGACGCAGTGGGTCATGATAGCCTTGCATAAACGAGGACTGAGACAATTTCTCCGTTGCCAATCGGGGGAGACACTTGGTGCGCCTCCAAGTAAATTCCATGGAAATGACAGCGTAGCAAAGCACGATCAGAGTCGACGCAGATATTTCAGTACGAGCGGCAGTCCAGGATGGAACTACGCCACCTGTAACTTATGGCAGTGCGGTCAATTTGGGCCTATCGCTGGCCAGCTACAGGACGCCAAGTGGCACTTCGGCGCCCACTGTGTCTAAAAGCAGTGCTACTAAGAAACAACTGGTGCTTCGCACACAGTTGAAACAGACGCTCGCCGTTGTCAATACGGTCGAAGTTAAGTCCATACTTACCAGCTAGCCGAGCTTCTGAAGAGCTCAGACGCTCTACTTGTGCGTACATATCCCCTGCAAGTACTATAATATCTGAACTAGTAGCATTGCTTAGTAGCGCATTCAGTTCGTGATAGAATGTGTCCTTGACAGCATTAGAACTGTAGTCGGAGGGAGCATAAGCGGAGATCACAGACAAACAGCGTTTTGTACTACTTCGTGAATCAACCTTAGTTGAAGTCGTCAAATGGGCTGTACGAAAACAGCTGTTTACCGGAATCCAATCAATCAACAGCGGCTTAGCTTAGTAGCTGAGTACGATACCTACCCAAGCTTGACTCGTGAGTGTTGCATCAGCCTCTCCGGATGCATGCAACCAATAGCGAGAGGACAAGCCGGGTGCAGTTGATTCAACAACACCATTAGGGTCATTGATCCTAGTTTCAGACACACAACACACGTCAATACCCAGTGTGTCCAAGGTGCGTGCGAGTGCAACCTGTTGACCTATTTGTTTTAGTGCGAACGTCGAACGCCGCCAGGGAAATGGGACAGAGTGGCCGTATAAGGAACGGTTGCCGATAGGCGTCCAGTGCGTGTTGTGGGAAGGTGGCTGCAGATGCTGTGACTCCAGTGGCACTTCGGTTACTGTCACTTAGGCTGGGAAGTATGGAAGGAAATTTAGTGATGGTGGTCGGGATGGGAGTAAGAGAAGCAGGTGGAAAAGAAAGAAGGGAGGTACCAGCAGTAGCATATTTTCGCTTATCCTCCCTGCTGTATGCAGCAGAGTAGATGACCCTTGATAATCTGCACGACGGCTGATGTAGGATGTAGTTAGAGTTTGGAGAAATTGTCATGGTTGTACGTGAGTTCAGATACTGCCAGGGCGCCCCAGACAGGAGCTCGATTAGGGTTCTCAACCAAAGCCTTTGCTTCAAAAGCCTGTCCGCAAGGCAGTGGGGAGATGGCAATGATTTACAGAAATGGACACCATCCCATTCCAAACCCCCATGCTGGAGGACCAGCAGATTGAATTTATCAGACTTCTAACCATTGAAGAACCTGGTAGGAGTGGCTCTCTAGGGGCCCGGGGGCATCACGCCGTACAGTTCAATGGGTCAAAGAGGTACGCAAACCGTCTCACCACGTCAAAATCGTCTCGTTGCGACCTCGAAGTGCACCGAGTCCAAAGGCGATTAGTGGTGATTGTGTGGCAGCGAAGCGTCGGTAAGGTGTGTCGGTGTGTAGTGACCCATTTTGACAATGTACATAAAAATATCCCAAGGGTAGGGGATTCGTCGAAGCAAGTTCCAACTCAGTCAGTCGTCTCCTGTGGCCCAGTGGCATAAGCTGCTGACTGGCGGTGCAAGCAGCTGATGGTCATAGGTTCAAATGCTGTAGGATCCGATGGATGCGCACTATTGATGATGCCCACCAGGTTGAAACTGCAGTCTAGCTTTTCCGGGCATGTGGACTATCTGATTTGGAACTGGATGCGACGAACCCTCAATTAATAAAAAAATCCGCCAAAATATCGAACCAAGTTTATCGGGAGCATACTCTGAGTAAACTGCAGCTAGTTAGCCCGGAAATCATGATACAAAAAGCAGGCAATCACTCAAATCGAGCACGTAGAGAGTAACTGAGCTTTTCAGGCGCAACTCGTTCAGTATACTCACTGAAGGTGGTAACCTAAATCTGACTGAGCCATTTCCTTTCCTTTCGAAAGATGGTAGATGCAAACCACCTCCACGATAAACAAAACTTGGGTCTGTTGACCTTTAAAAGATGAAGCGCATCAGCACAGATTGCCCGAGAAGAGTTCATCAATGGGAAAACAAAAGTTCGATGATAAGAAAGCAGCTTTCAAAAGAGCTACGACAGAAACGACTGTCCGTCAGTGATGTGCTTACAAGTCTAGCATGAGCAATTGAATCAAACTAAGATGCTTCTCGTTGACACTCGGCGCATGCACTGGGTTTTTCAGTGTAGAATGGACAGAATAAGTCTGCGTGCATTCGGAATTTGGATGCATACCGGAAGGTAAAACTGACAGAAGTGGATAAAAAATGAAATAGAAAAGCGCCAGTACACATTTCTAGCTTGAGAAAAGACCAGAAGATTAAAATGGACATAGGTAGCGAGATCTGTTAGTCTGAATAGGCGAAGTGATTACCACTGGAATCCTCGGGGAAAAGTGATGGAAGCAGTGGATTAGAGTGGGTCAACATTAGTCCACTATCAGATATTCTAGATGTCTACGTATCACACTGAGTTCTACTGGAAACCAAAAAGGAGAGATAAGAGATCGAAGCAGAGATGGGATGGCACAATGAGCTTTGTTCGTTCCTTAGAAGAGAGACGATTTGGAGCCTAGCATTTGGAAACACAGGTTGTCATTACACAAGGGAATTCGATGAGTTAGAGACAGCAACAGTGATACGCAAGTGAAGAATTTGTGAGTATGTGTTCTAATGTAAGTAACTGACGGTTCATCCCAACAGTTTCCCAATCAGATAATCTTCCACATGCCCTGAAAAGCACTAGACGGCCATTTCGATTATCCGGGTCTTGTCAGAAGTGTGTATAGATCGGATCCAGCAGCAGCTTGCAAGGTCAGCCAGAAGCTTATGCAACTGCCATGTGGGACAGCGGCGGACGGTTTGATTTACAAGCTAACCATGATGTAGCGCGTTCTATCCTTCGGAATAACATGCAAAGATGTTCGCTCTAAAGAAAGATTATGTAAACAATGTTCTAGTTCACCAAATCGCGTACACTTGTGTACTCCAGTCGGCAAGAGTAATGTGATGCATTCTCTATAATCAAGACGCAGCATATAACGTGAAAACTCATCACCGGAGATGAATAAGACTGCGCAATCCAAGAGATTAATCCAGTTTAGCAACGGTATTTTCGGCCGTGTTATAGAAGCATCGGGGTAATGAACATAAAAGGGGTGGAATACGGATAATAGAAACAGCCCTATCAAACAGTTATAAATACACAGAGGCGAGGCGATTAATCAGCCTTGATCGCAAGCTTCACATTACATAGCAGATAATGGCGACCAAGGCTTCTAAAAGCCGTAAAATTTTCCGGCTGCTGATACTCGACCAATCGGTTAAGAAAATCTGGTGATTAAAAGCCAAAGTAGCAGATAGGGCAACACAACAAACGAATACAAACTTCTACCGCGGTCACCTTGGTTAAAGACCTTACCTGGGCAGCATCGGAGTCTAACCAAGAAAACACCTGATATCCGGCCAGAGCAGAGTCAGCCAAAAGCCATTCGCCTGTCTGTGCCACCACTTGGCCGACGTAGACCACAGCGACGCGACCATCGATGGAAGGCTCACTTTCGGAGAGACGAGTGGCATTCAGTGCATGGGATAGTGATTCACGAAGAGCAGCGCGAAACTGTTCTGCAGTGGGGTTGAATTGTACACGAACCAAGTGAGGAGTGTTGTCGATCTGACTGTAGAATGTCAAGCCAACTGCGAAAAAATGAAAGCAGAGTGGGGGATAGATGAAAAGAAATTCGGTTTTAAATGAGGAGTATGAAACAACACGGAGAAACTGTCGTAAGGTGTGATTTTTATTGGCATAACTTGTGCACAGTGGAGCCATAATACGCCAACATTCTTGAAAGACAAGCTGGTGAGCAGTCGAGAAGCCATTTCGACGCATACAATGCTAGGAAAGTTGAGTTTTAGTGGTAAACTAGTTAGATTAATGGGTCAAATGTAGTCGTGATCCATGAAAAAGTAAATCAATAATAGGTCCATGGAAATGCACCAAGGTTTATGGAACATCCGCATATGTGTTTGAACAAGTGCCAACATTTTCACAACGTTTAGTCACAATAGGATGCAGACGACGCAGTGCGAGACGCGTCAGGACAGCGATGTGAAAGATGACCGATTGTAATCGGAAGCAACCTGGGGGAAGGGCATAGAAACTTGAATCACAACCGCACGACCTTATCGGTGCCATTAACGCACCTAACTAATAAAACGATGCAGGCGAACGGTGTGTGACAAGTTCACGAAAATGAGCTGGATAACATACAGGATTATCGTACAGTGGAATGATGGAACAACATTGAGTCGTCTGTCGCCTCACAAGTTAGACCATTCACCATAGTCTGCGCTAGAAATGTAGTGAGATACAACGAACCGAAACGAAGCCAGTTGGTGAAAACAGGGTGCAGCATTATGTGACAGTTCTGTTGGTTCACTACTATTTTTGGTGGCCAGTGAAACGGCTGAGATGAGTCACACCGGACCAGGGAATGTCAGCCGCAACGACGCTTGAATGTATGACAATGAAGCGCATAGACCAGACTTCGGGGGCGGGCGATTTGGAAAGACAGTCTCTCCGGTGGGGTTCCGCACCTGTACCTATGAACAGCTGTGAAGTGCTTAACAAGTTAACAAGCGAGAGTAAAAAGATTGATGGACTGGTAGTGGAAGGGGTGCAGTCCGTAAAGCAACATTCGGTTCAGCATGGGTAGCGATGAACGGGAGAGAGAATAGTCAAGGGAGGGGAAGAAGGTGGACTAATTGTTCCAAATGGGAAACAACGGAATTGTAATTCGAATACGCAGTGAAAGAGAAAAACAGCATCAACTGAGCGGGAAGTACCCGTCAAAGGTAAAACACAGCTGGGCTGCTCACACCTGTATGGTTGCGATGGGAATGCGATTCGAAAAGAGAAGCCATAGGCCTCCAAAAGAATCACTCATGAAGGATTTGGGGCATAAAAGAGTCATACACAGTGACACAAAGAGTGGGCTGAGATGAGGACAGAAAGCAATAGATAGATAAGGAGGCGAAAAGCGTATGGGCGAAATCACCTGACGTGATACAGTTTCGCTGAAAAACGGAGAGTGGAGGATCGAGAACGAAAAACGAACTACCTTGGGTGGCACAAAAACCCGCACGACGTAAAAATTTGTAATAGAGATGCGTCGCAGTTGGCAACAATCGAATGGTTGCCCGTATTGTGTCATTTCAGTGGTGTGTGTAGATTTTACCACTGAATGCTGGTCGTAGTACAATGGCTCGGCCACGTATTACGCATGCCAGCCCACCGACTCCCGCGACGTGCGTTGTTTGCGCGCCGGGGGTGTGGATGGAAGAAGAGGAGGGGTGGTCAAGCGATGACTTGGTCCAGAGGAATGAAGGCCCTCACTTTTGAGCTGGCCTCGGTTGGAGCGTCTCGGCTCCCTGGTTGGGGTCCGAAAGACGATGAACAAGTTTGGTTGGACACACTTGCTGATATGGCTAGGAGCCGACCTCAGTGGCGTTCCTGCTGTGAGTTTCTTTGTCCCACCCCATCCCTCTTAGCCTCCCCCTCCAACCACGATCTCATTATTTAACCTTATATAGTTTTGCATAGCATTTTTTTATGCATAGTAGCCGGCTGGTAGCTTACCGGAACGATGCCCATCCGTTACCGGTAGCTCAGATGGCTTGCCCCAGTTGAATTCTTTTTTTCTCCCCTTTTTTATGTGCATTGCGGCACAGTAGCTGAGGTGTTCCCCATCTCTAGCTAACGTGTATGATGATGATGATGATGGGATAAGGAAGAAGGTTGGCCCGAAGAAATCCCACGGGCCAGACTGAGTCACAGCGGTGCCGAATTCACCCGTGCGGATCGGTTTAAAAGAGCGGATGAGTTAGTTATGGTGATGGCCTTGGGTGTGATGTGATCAGTAAAACTCGATAGCGTAAGTATGGAACGCCGACATCAAACCGATAGGTGTGTTAGGATCCACCAGAGCTGCTGCGCGCTGTCACCTCACTTCTTTAACTTCGCCATTGACGAAGTCATGGAAACGGCGTTCGCAAGACACGAGTTAAAAGGCGTAGAGTTGCTCCCAGATGACCGACTTCTTGACTTCGAGTACGTCGGCGACATTGCGCTCATCCGTGACAGCTCTCTAATGTTCAACTGGATAAATTAGCTCTTGCTGTCAGTCGTTGCGGGCTATGTTTTGCACCCTTGAAATGCAAATTCCTTCTCCAAGATTGGCAGGGACCCACTCCTGCTCTGATCCTTGGTGGTGACCAGCCAGAAGTCATATGGCAATTTATGTATCTGGGCAGTTATATCAGCGGTCTTGGGATCGAAGACGTGACTATAAACCATATAGCAAAAGCTCGATGCGTTTTTGCGAATCTGCCAACTGTGGCGCCGGCGCGACATTACGCTCGCGCTGAAAAGCAGAGTTTACAATGTAGCCGTCCGTTCAACCCTTATGTACGGTTGCCAAACCTGGCCTATCAAGTTGGCAGACATAAAAAGGCTTGTTATGTTTGAGCATCGTTGTCTTCGCAGCGTAGGTCACATCTGATGGGAACACCGCGTGAGCCATGAACGTGCTCAGTGCCGCGAAATTGGTGCAGGAAGAACGAGTTAACCACTCAGCATCATTATATCATGCACCAGGCTCTGATGGCTAGGCCACGTGTTGCGCATGCCAGGACACCGACCCCCGCATCGTGCGTTGTTGGTGTGCCCGGAGTCTGGATGGAAGAAGAGACGAGGAGGCCAAACGATGAATTGGTAAAAAGAAATGAAGTCTCTCGCTTCAAACTTGGCGTCGGTTGGTAAACCCCGAGTACCGGGCTGGGATCCGAGGGACGATGAACGCGTTTAGTTGGATACACTAGATGACATGGCGGGGAGGCGACCTCAGTGGCGTTTGTGTTGTGAGTCGCATTGTCCCTACTCTCCCCTTTAGCTTCCCCCCTACAACAAGGATCTCTAACCCTATGCGTAATGTGGTACTTAGCATTACGTTACTCTTTTACAGCCTTCTTATGCTGTATCGTTTAATCCAAACGTTTTTATTGCGGTACATCAGGTAAGGTGTGTTTCTCACCCTCGGCTAACGTGTATTGATGATGATGAGGAGAGCTATTGGTGCTGGAAACATCCAAAGTAAAATGAAATTTACTACGTGGATATAATTGAGGAGTAAGCAAAAGTACAGGGGATTACACCTGTAACAGCAAATGAAACAAACAAAGACGATATACAAAGAGTGATATTTTTGCTTTTTACAGAGTTGGTGTCACCTTAAAAAGATGGGGCTTTGTCTTTCAGACGCCCAAGAGCACCCTGTGTCGACACTACGTAATAGGAAATAGACCATGTGTACCAAGGCTCGGTTATTGAAATAGGAGTTCATGGCATGTTTCAAACGGCAAGCACAAGCGGGTGTAGCGTCTGTTATCAACCCACAATCGAGAAACACTCAGACTCAGAGATCTGGCTTCAGCCAGTAATGATCGAAAAAAAATCGAGCGTGAATGCAAGAAAAACATGTGCACGGAGCAGCTCAAACTTGGCATTGACTTAGGTGGACCGCATTCTGTGGTGCTGCTGATGTTTAGCATCACAAGGTGACAAAACTAACTTGAAGAAAATATGTCAGTGGATGAAACTCTAGATGAACACACACGGAAAAGGTATGTGTGTAGGTGTGTGGCAACGCGAAACACGGAGTCCTGAATGGAAGTAGCCATCACACCGCATGCCACCAAAGCTCAAGACCTACACATGTGAAGCTGATCAAGGTTGATAGACATGCGAGATGAGAAGGTGATTACGCGCAAGCTCAGCCCGAGCACCTTGAAGAGTCAGTAAGGGTGCTACGAGGGTAATTAAACTGAGCGAAACCGCTGGTCCGTATGTGCCAGTTAGACGACGATCGCTGAGAGAGGTTTCGGAACGTATGTGAGATTGGAGTCAAATCTAGAGAACAAGGACGCTGGTTCGGAGGTGTAAAAAAGCGTGATGGTCAAAAACACAAAGAAGAGAGCAGGTCAATGCGGGTAAAAGTAATCCTATACAATCAGTTAGGAAGATAGTAGCCAAAAGCTTACGACAGTAGTAAAGAGGATGATAGGTGAGTATCGCTGATTCTTGGGGTCAATCAAACGCGCAAGCGGCCACAGCGATTTAGAAGCCAAGGTGAAGTCGCTATGAAGAATGGACTGAGAACAATACAAGGCAGATCTCGAAAAGTCGCAGATGATGACCACGACAAATAGTGATCAATATCAACGTAGGGAGCAAAGAAACGAAGAAGCGGGACTACTGACTCTAGGAAAATCCAACTTTTATGATCACTGGATAATGTTAATGGTGATCGACGCGGGCCGGTGATGTTTGTTTACCCTGTGCGAGTAAGAGGTGACATGAAACGTGGTCGACCAGTTTATTAAGTCACGCTCAGTGAACCAACCATGATGAGAGCACTGTGGTGCTGTAAGATCGGTCACAAGAGCTCAAGTCGTCTAGATAAGGAGAGAGAAAATGCCATGCAAGATAGGAACGCAAACACAGCGAAACAACATAGAGAGAAAGGAGAGCGGAGTCAAAAAGTCAACAGAACGAAGCAAAAGACTGTAGATGTTACAGACTATACCGGATATAGTACATAAAGTTTGATGTGGTTGTCTCGTAATCCCCGACTCAGCCT